AGCCAGAATACACACCTCTCAGTGTCAGACAAAACTCAAAATCAAGATAACGCGATAGCCGATTACAGTATCCCAGAGTCTTTCAATGCGTTTTGCAGTATCGTCTCTTTGACGGCGACAAAGACCAGTCTGACGTTAGCTGTATCGGTGGCCTGGGTCAAGCTGGGTGTCAAATCAGTATGAGTCATCCACACATACCAAGGAATGGAAAACGTACTGTGGATAAACACTCAACCTAGCCCTATTTGCCTTCATGAACCGCCACAGAATATACTTGGCCGCTTTGTTGATATCTTTGCCACCCGGAAACTCGGGGAAGTAGCGCTCTAGCGGTATCTTTGGTATCTTCTTCTTGAACACGTCGCTCTTGTTCAGAAATAGCACGATAGATGTTCGGAGGAACCACCGAGAATTGATGACTGATTCGAATAATACGAGTGACTCAGCCATGCGGTTCTGTTCAGGGGTGAGGATGCCGCCGAGAATTGATGAAGCCAAAAAAATCACACCTGCTTTTTGTCCTCCAACAGAACCTGGTCGTACTCGCTGATGGCCGTGCAAAAGATAATGGACGTCACGCTCTCAAAACAGTGTATCCACTTGCGACGCTCTGAGCGCTGACCACCAACGTCGAACATGTGTATTCTAGCGATCATCGAACCATCAACTCGTGTGGACGGTTGCAGAGATGGATGTCACTCACTGAAGTTGGCCCATGGTGAACCTGGTTTCTGTGATGGCCGTAGTCGTTGCTCGAGCGCGTAGGATATCTGTCTCCGTGGGCCTGTATCCAGGCGCGCCGATACGAAGGACCTCGGTGAAAAAGCTGATAAAGGCAATTATTAGGAGAAATAACACGAGATGAGGATGCGACTCACTAGAAAGCACTGTCCATCAAATAAAATTCACTCGAGTGCTCGTCCAAGAGCTGCGGAATGGCGCCGTCTTGACAGAAAAGGTGGATGGTATTTGCGATATCGGGCGAAAGCAACTCGTCCGGCTTCTCTATGCGATAGTCTAGTATTCTGTCTGCGTGGGCCTAGCAAAGCGAGAAATAAATACCTCGCGACAATTCTCCGGCAAATCAACGTACCTGATTTGACTCGTTGGCGCACTGAATCCCAATCTTCCGCATCATCAAGGCAATAGACTGTGCTGAATCAAGAACATTCTTATATATCGTCCCACGGTACGAGTCCCGCTCCTCGGGGGTAAAGCCTCCCTGATGAATAATCTTCATCTGCTTGACAATGGTCGATTTTCCTGATTCGCCGGAGCCTGGGGGGGGATACGGTCAACGACCAAGGGCCTTGGCTGGACGATTCCTGCACGCACCCAAGAGCAAAATCTTGCACTCCTTCTTGAATCGTTTGCCGTCATCCTCGAGTTGTTTGTCGATCAAATCGGAACAGGCCTTCTCGTCCTGATTGGGCTGCGAGGTGCAGTTGCCCATTCTAGCGGCCGGGGGACGCGTAGATGCTGGGTCGCGGGCACGACGAGGAGGGAATGGTGGTGGTACAGGTGAGAGAGGTAAATAGGCTGACAAGTGGCTGGCTCATCGCCCGTCAGTCTGCCGTGCGCAATATGTTGAAATCCGTGACAATTTTGTGACAGCTGTCAATCGTGTTACAACGCAACCCTGTCGTACCGTTCTAGGCTTTCATCACCACTTCCTTCATTTACACTTCATTATCGTTTTGCTATGCTATATGCGTGCATGCACCATCTCCCAGTATGATGCACATTCCTGGATACTAATGTTCATTTTACGAGAGTGAATTTCTGCTGTCCCGGGATCTCACGGCGGCTTCTGTCTTCTCAGGCTCAGGCTGTCAATTACAATCCTGTTCATGTGCTTGCATACCGGGCAGTTGGAATAGCCTCGCCTTCATTGCGGACGTTATATCTGAGGGGCTATCGCGTGTTCTCCACAGTGACAGCGCTTGCTGCGATCTGCCTTGGAATATTTCCAAGTCTGAAACATTTGGAAAAGAATTCGGATTTGTTGCGAAGCCGCTCAACAGACCGACCTCGCTACGAGAGATTCGTCCTCCGTGCTATTGACGACCTGCGGTTCTGCGGATCAGAGATGATAATTGCCTGTGGCCAACCGGTCCGAACTATTCCCATCACCTGTTTTGAGTTGGCGACAGGGAGAAGACTGTGGAAATGATTTCATTACACCCGTTCGGGCAAGTTTACTCACTTGACCATGGATAGGTATGTTGTGGCGCACAAAGGGTATGTTGCACCGTCCATCAATCTAAGTGCCTTGGCATGTCACCCCTTCATCGACCTCATAATGGTCATCTTCTCGGTTACCTGTGACTGCCTGGTCCAGATTGGCCAGGCTCGAAACTTCCCAGAGTTGACGCATGCAGGGCGCAGTGAGTCACCGTATTGCTTTCACGCCAACCCAACCCTTGATACTTACATACACCGGCCATCTGGCTGACATGTATTCGCAAATGCGAACTAATGAATCTCTGCACATATATGGTTGGATTATAGTTTAATCGTGTGCCCGCCCAGCAACATATATCTTCCAGGCTAGCATGTGCCGTAAATTCAGGTTGAAGTTCGTGTGCTCCTGACCGGTCCCTTAGTGCTTCCGAGCCGAAGCTTGGGCTTTTTGAGTTTGCAGGATCACGTGAGACTATCCAGGTGATGTCATTCGATCCGACATACGGACTTGTAAGCAACGACGAGGTGCATTATGTGTATAACCTATAGGAGCAACGTCCGTACATGGCACAATCATGATTGTGAGGCAAACAGCAACACATGTATCGGTAGCGCTTGCTGGTGAACCGGTACGAAGCTCCTGCTCTTCTGGTTCTCAAGTTCTAATGCCCCCCTAGCCTGTTCTTGGGCGAAGATAGTAACATTGGTAGATCGGCGACTCGGAGAATCTGGGTGCGTCGACAACGTTATCGTTCTGGGAGATTGATTTGACAGCGACCAGGATCTCATGCAAGATAGACTCGTTGCGAGGGCTCAGCCGCAGCCCTGCTGGTCAGGCTCGGTGCCTACAGAGCTCATCGCGATGATCATTGATGGAATTGCAGAAGAGCAGTCCACCCTGCGGTCCTGTGCGCTCGTCTGCCGAGCATGGACACCCATCGCCCAAGGGTACATCTTCCATTCTCTCCACATAACCGTCCACATAGACTGCTGGAAGTCGCCCCTTCTCTTCCTCGCTCCCTTTATTCACGTATCAAAGAACGTTGGCGTGCTCAGCCGGCTGCTTAGATCTTCCCCCCACATCGCTTCCTATGTCAAAAGACTAACCGTCACGACCACCTACGATCACTGGTTCTATTGCTCCATTCCGGCCACCCTAGTTGACATGTTCAACACAAAACTAGGACACTTTTGGAACCACTTCCTCCCATCTATCCTGCAGAGCTTGGACAGGGTGGAAGAGCTTGCGGTCCCCAGAAACATGCGCCACCCGTTGTCGGAGAAGGTGCCAAAGATCCTGATCGATGGACTAGGCTGTGTACTGCGTTCATCATCGTTGACGTCGTTAGCAGTGCTCTCCGGGAACTTGAACGATCTATACTCCATGCTGGGTGAATGCCGACGGCTGCGCGATCTCCGTGTGGGGAATGTAACATGCCTTCATGAAACGCCCAACCCTTCCTCGTTCCCGCCACTTCCGTTGAAACTGCAATTCCTCGCCATAACCTCCTGTATGGACGCATATTTGGACTTTGTTAATAAGTCACCACGCGGACTCGTTGATTTCAGCCACTTGAAGCGATTAGAGATCATCATTCGTGGATCTTTCTTTGCGATGGAAGCAGATCTGGTTCTGGCAACGGAAGATCTGATTCGTCGGAATAAAGAGACCTTGCAAGATCTCGTGCTGAATGTATGTCCCGAAGGTGCGCTCAATCACGATTTCCTGGGAATTAGTTGGCTAACGGCATTATTGTCAGAATGCTTATTCAATCTTGTCGATCCTGCGCGCATTCGGAACGTACATTTAATCCTGGCTTCCTCGCCTCGTCCTGCTTCGCAAAATCTAGAGGCGTGGGTACGATGGCTAACTCGGTCCTTCTCTGGCGTGAAGTGGATTAGACTTGAACAATGTCTATTCCAATTGAATGGGTTCAATACTTCCGCTGATGTCATGGCGCTATATGACGAGTGGAGGAAGCTGGATACCATCATGTCTTCGCGGCCTGGACTTGCTCGACTCAATGTACGCTTGTGGCGGAGCGGGTCTCTGACTTCAGAGAATATTGAAGACATATTTCCTTCTTTGACCGCAGCTGGGCGCCTGCATGTCCAGGTAGCCGACATAGGCTTTTGAAGAATTGTATAGGGCCACTTTTGTGGCAGCGGCGCTTTGTGGTATTAGAGCTTTGGACGCGTAAAAAGTATAAAACTCGTCGTATTGCGGCGCTTGGTGCGAAACTTACTGGCTGACTAGGTGAGTGCGAAAGATGAGTGGCGGAACGAGTCGGGTGCAAACCGATAAATCAGCAGTGGCTACATGAGTAGGTCCACTTTTCGGGCTCTAGAGCAAGGAAGGTTGATACAAAACTGTGTAACCTAAGGTGTCAACACACCCACCCAAGCCTATGATTGTCCTCCACGTCCGGTTCTGAATGGGCAAGGTTTGATAGATTATATCTTGCCGCGACGCTCAGGGAAGGGGAGCCACCATGTAATTGCGATGCATCATATAAATCTTAAGCCAATTTAACAGATAATTGCTACTAGTTATTTACATGTGCATGACAGTGTCGTTCTTCCTGACTCCCTTATGAATCGTAAATATCAATGTCCTCAATACCTCGTGTTTTCAAACGTCCAGACCTGACAAGGAAGCGAGATGTCATGTACATACAGCAGGGTCAAAAGAGAATGAGTGAGCCATGATTTTCGTTACAGAATCTGAAGTTTCCAATGTCCAGACTCAAGAGTCAAGACTGCGGTAATACTACTAACACAATCCAGATGTGTTCAATAAAACAAACTACAAAAAGTGACCACCGCAGGACTCGAACCTGCAACCTTTTGGTACCATTCAGCAATCGAAGCCAAACGCGCTACCATTGCGCCAGGAAGCCACAAAAAGATGTATCACATGTCTCCACTCGAATATGAGACATGCCTTGCTACTTAAACTCCTTGGACGGCGACTCCTTCGACACTTTCCATGGATCAGCCTCTCGTCGTGCATTTACCCCCAGAGCGCCTCGATCAGTGTTCGCACTGTTCAGTCAAAAAGCCGAACCTCAGCTTCTGTTCGGCATGCGCAGAAGTGAGTGTATTTTCCTTTACGTGTATCTCAATTTATCTGTGCCTGTAGGCAACGTATTGCTCCACGGAATGTCAAAAACTGCATTGGGAAAAGGAGCACAAGCAAGCGTGTGGTGTGTGCCTCCTGTTTCATCCTCATCTTATTCCAGGTTCTTAACAGAAAACCCTCATCAACCCTAGGCAAAACGGATCGCATTGATATTGGGTCCTTCTATCCTCTCCTGGCCATACTGGCAGAGACAGCTCGCTTCAATGGCCTGAGACCGACACACCCTGCATTAACCCACCGTATTTCCGCTTCCCCTGCCATAGTAGGGTTCCCTGACGGCTCGGCTGCGAAAGTCATCGAGCTGGGCCCAGAAGAAATACCTATGCATGACATGATGAGCGCGAGATGGTGGCCGGCAGCTGCAGGCGGTACAGATCGGGCTAGGCGGAAGTTATTCGCTAGACTGGTCAAGGAGGGGGAGGTCCTGCCTATCGTAACGTCTCTATGTCTCGGCCTTCTGGCGACCATGTACACAACTACCTCTTCCAGGGGAAGCCGGTCCCGTCGGGTGCGCCTCCAGTACAAGAGCTCTCCAATTTCAGATTTTGGCATCGCCAAAGGCTCCTTCGAGGTCAAATGTCAGGATCAGCTCGCTTACTTCAACGGCAACACGTTCTGGAAAGGACAGGATCCTAACGACCACTACTGGATCTACTTCAAAACTGTCAGAGGCGAAGAGATCATTCTCGATATCGGATTGTTCACTTTTAATTTCTGCACGATGGTTTCTGCTGCGCCTTATATCTCCGATTTGAGCGACTTTCCTCCTGGGCTTGAATTCGCTCCGGCATTTTTCCGTGACAGGGAGATTGCCAAAAACGTCATCCAAACTTATACCGAGCGGAAACGCGTCTCAGTTCTTAGAAATGAGAAGCTAGGACGGGCTATTCGACACAGTGGTGATCGCTTCGAAGAGGCAGAGTGTAAGCTCATCTGGGATTTCCTCGACGATTTCGGCGAGGGCACCGCGCCTTCCCCAGATGAGGGACTGCCCATCGTTTACACGCTCAAAAATCTCAATGTTCTTAGGGAAGTCTTGGAGAAACGGACATGGACGAAGTGGCCAAAGGAGCCGCCATTGGGTATTGACAGTGATCCCCACGAAAAAGATTATTCCTCTGTTGCAGAAGATGATGCCTGGTTCAAGAATCTAAAGAAGTGGACGAAGAAATATAAATCAGGGAAGGTATCTCGGGCGACGTATGATTCGGCGATCAGGAAAATGTCCAAGTGAAGGTCTGTATTTGGCTGTTCAATACTAGCTCGATGGCCTCTTAACCCCTTCATTAGCGGTGATTCGGCGGGTACACGAGATGACTTTTCTCTTCGCAATCCTTTTAATATCCATTACTTTGGATCGAATGTTTAAAATGATCCCTAGCCCGCATCCATGCGATATCCAAACGTCAGCGAGCATACGTACGTTGGTAATAAAGGAAGCTCGGACAATTTGCACCCGCAAACGCTGGGTAAATTCCGTTCCACTCAAAAATTGTTTTTTCTTCAATCTCTTCAAAATTTGTCATGTATTTGTGCGCTTGAAGGGCGCGCTCCATATTTAGGTTCAGTGCCTGACCGTCATGATCAAGAAAGCTTAAGCCCTCATCATATTACAACCGTACCGCTCTCAGGGTTTCAACTGAGGAATAACCTGCACAGTGAAAGTCTTTATTTCGAATTCTCCGACAGCGAAGATGGCTATGCTACATCCCAGCGATTCCACCTTCGCTCAAACTGATCCGCTGTCTCCTTCATTGATATCATCTCTCTTCGAACGTTCTCTGGGTGTGTCTCTCGTAAACATAGAATCGCCGAAGTCAAGCCAAGGGCTCTATCACAAGGTCTACTTCGTTTCTCTGGCAGAATCGGCTCATTCACGGTGGAGCGGCAAGGATGTCGTTCTCAGAGTAGCCAGGTTAGTCTCTTCGCCTCGCTTAACGGAATTATCGTTGACTTGGCACCGCAATTTGTAGAAAAGCAATTGAAAGAATCAAGATCGAAAACGAAGTCGCTGTCATTGATGTGGTGAGGAACGCCGGATTGCCAGTACCTGAGGTGCTCTTCTATAACAATGACCCGGCGAACGACCTTGGTTTCGAATATATCTGTGTCGAAAGTCAGGTTTTGCATTAGTTGTTCGTGCTGTCATTAATGCATCTTTAGAATTGCCGTACCCTTCCCTACAGGACACCTGGACGACACTGAGCCAGGAAGCGCTCGATAACGTCCTCAATCAGTTCGTCAACTTCTTCATCAGAATGTTCACCCTTGAGCTACCTCAGGGAGGGAAGTTCTATGGCAGTCTTCGCGTCATTGAAATGGAGGGGCGAAGGGAAGCTGTCCCCGGTCCTGTTCTAGAAGAAACACTGTGGCAATTGTACGTGGCCGAAGCGTTAATTCCGAATCATGACAGCTCCTGGTGATTTGTTTTAGACCGGACATTCTGCGCTATTTCCATGCCGCCCCTTACAACCTCACCAGGGAAAGCTTTGTTACTCTCAATCCATGTGGATGGTACCCGTCATGGGTGGCTTACATCTCGGCATTCCTCAAATGCTATTACCGTGTCATTTTGATCCATCCCTCCGTTTCATTCCTGTTGTACCTACTTGATCCATTACAGCGTTTAATTCAGAAGTTGGACAGCAGGGAAATAGACTGGGTCCGTAGGCTCCGAGATGAAAAGGGTCTACAAGGAAGATTATGGCACAGAGACCTTCATTTCGGTTACCTCCTCTCAGACGAGGAAGGAAATATTCACGCTATCATCGATTGGGAGTTCTCCGGCGTAGGGGTGAGTTCTTCGTAGTCCTTTTCTACCTAGTCCATGACGACCCTCATTTCTAGCCTTCGTTCCATAAAACATCCTCTCCCGTGCGAAATTGCATTTCGTTCGCTTATAGTTCGGAACCGACACCTTCGGCGGATAAACTGCGTCTTTTGAATGAATGGCCCGAACAGTTTCTATCCCGACTGAAGGCCGCGTCTCCGTCGGTCTATAACCAATGGGTATGGGAATCGGATCCGGAACAAGTGCTTGGAAGGGAGGGGAAAGCCCTGAGTGACGTGAGAGAGTATTTGAGAAGTTGTCTTGAAGTCGGTGTCCGACAGTGGGGAAACGTCGAGGCTGGAAAGGGTGCCTGGAAAGATGTGGTAGAAACTAGGCTGAGGGAGCTAGAATGCTGGTGAAATCCTAGGTGCATACTTTGGCATAGATAACCCATGCCTTAAAGAGCGCGAATGGCATTACTTCATCGCTGCCGGCGGCTTCAACTAGTTATGTTAAGGTTATGCCTGTTTCTCCTTTTTGTTCGGACCCGTCTGTTGATCTACAAGCATCTGCGATATTTATCAGATACACTTGGTTCGCCTAGTTATAACATAAGTATGACTGCGAACTACCGAATTGCATTCTAGCCTTGACCTATATTCTTTGCCGATGTCCTCTATTTATGGTAGTCGGCATTGCCGTAGATGAACTATTTTACTTCATCCAACTAGACGCTCGAAGCTCGAACGCGGTCCACATCTTTGATCAACTCGGAATACACCCTTTCTAGGACAGCTACGCAATCACCGGGTGACAGCCTGAGGACTATCATCTTAGTGACTTCGGCATGATGCCTTTGTGAATCTCACTCCGGTCCAGAACTCGCCTGACACCCTGGCTTCAATTTCTTTCGAGAGGTCTCCAAGTGCAACGGCTTGACAGGCAGTGAACAGTACTTGACCAGTAGTCATTCCAGCAAGATGGCTGACGCTTGAAGCCAGCTCGTGCCTTCCTGTTCAAGGCAACAGAATGTCCTCCAAGGTTCCTCGACGCCAACGGATACCTTGTTCAAAACAGAGATGAGATCGCCACACACCCTCCTGATATCTCCGCTACAAACTCACAAAGGTTTTTCAACTAGAGGACCAGCGGTGAGGGGAGGCGGCATAGGAGAGGTCGGGTACACCATATTCTTGATAACATGCTTCAATTTAATGGCGGCATCGCCGTGGGTTTCGAAGGCGACACGGCGGATAAAATCACTCATCGCCTACGGCGTCACAAACGAGGACTCTACTTACTCCTCTAAGTTCGGACCTCTCCAACTGTTTTCGGTTTGTCCGCTCTGAAAATAAGGGCGCTTGAAAGTTAGTAGGTGTATGAACGGAATATGATGGGCTGAGCGACATCCCGGCATCAGCGGTCAACGCACCGCATATGTACCAGATATCGTGGCCCCTGCATTAGGAACGAAAGCCAATGAGGTGTAGATGAGTTCGAAATGGGTCGGGCCGAGGTCACTCGAGCTGATAGGCAGGCCATCCAAAGAGCGGTTGGCGCGGTCCTATGCGCGTCTATGAACGACGCCAACTTCTCAGGACGGGAGAATTCTACAATGATGTCTTCTAGGGAATATAGGATAGGATCGGTATGCCCGTCGGCGGGGCCATCAAATTTCGAGACTGCATGCTTGATCGGCTTGAAACCGCGAGCATAGGTAGAGAGCAAGGCGATGGGAACGAGACGGGTTCGAAGTGGAGTGAGTGGGAAATTTTACAGTGTTGTATGTTGGGTTCGCGCTCAGATACGGCGGGTCTGATCTGAGGCAATGAGATGAAGGCAGGCAATCTGGAGCGGACAATCCGAGAATCCCGGGGGTACTAATAGACTATGTATTAGTGTATAAATATCCCTCCCTGATTATTCATTCATGTAAGGACTGAGTTTAAACTTGGCAGGGATGGGACAGTACCACACGCATTGCAGCC